TCTTTCCTGATTGTGTGCAGGTAGTGCATGACCCGTAGCCAGTCGGGAGATCTGCTACCATTAGACCAGGAACTTGAACGAACTTGACCTCCAATCTCTATCACCACGTTCGCCAACCTGGTGGACAAGTTTCTCACCCGCTACCATCCTCCGTCCAAGATGGCGGACCTGCAGAAGCAAATTACCCATTTTGCTCAGGATGAAGACGAGACCATCTGGGATGCTTGAGAGAGATACACCAGTCTCTTCCTCAAGTGTCCCAACCATGGTTTTACTGACGCCTTCAAGGTGGGAACCTTCTACCATGCCCTCTTCCCGGAGGACAAGCAGCTGATTGATTCGGTCTGTGGCGGGAATATGCACACCAAAACACCGCCCGAGCTGAATCAAATTTTTGAGGAGATGGCAGAGCAGGGATATGACTGGGAACTGCGAGGAGATCGAGACGAGCACCAGGATGGGGTGTGCATGCTGTATCAACCTAGTCATCTGATTTGGTGCAGGTGGTATCGAAGCTAGTTTCAGCCATCGATCGTTCCGGGATGATTGCAGGTACCCGACAACAGCAGGCGATGCTCTGCCAGTGGTGTGAGAGTTCTCATCACACAGTGGAGGATTTTCAGGCAATGTGGGAGTCTTCTATTCCCCGGGAGCAGCTGGACTTCATCGGCAATGCCAGGCGATTCGACCCCTACAACAACACTTACAACGAGGGGTGGCGCCAGCATCCCAACTTCTCCTGGGGTGGGGCAAATTCTAGACCACAAGCCCCCCAGGGACCACCTGGCTTCCAGAGGCCTCCTTACCAGCCAGACAAGGGAAATTTCAGCAGCCACAGCAGCCTCTCTACCCGCCCAGACAGGGGCCAGTTCCACCTCAGTCACAGGTGCGGCCATTTCATCAGACAGGGGTAGCACCTGCAGCCCCAATACAGAGTGACCCCATGATGGAATTGCGAGATCTGGTGGGTTCTCTGGCCTCTTCCAGTGCAAACAAGTTCAATAACATCGAGCAGTTCATGGAGAAAGCTTCAGGTAAATTCATGGAGCTAGAAGCTGGTCAGAGAAACACGCAGGCTGTGCTGCGGGATATCCAGACCTAGCTTTGGAGTGTTGCTCATGATGTAGCTCAGAGGACTCCTGGTACTCTACCCGGTCAGACCATCCCTCATCCGCAGGACCCAAATGAGCACTGCAAGGCCATCACTACTAGGAGTGGCAAGGTGACTGCTGATCCACCTGTTCGGGCACAAGAGAGAGAGACCCCTACTCGAGCACTTCCAGCTAATGAGGAGGAAATGGAGAAGGAGGTTGAGGTGCCTGCTCCTAAACCGCAACCACTGGTGAAGGAGTATGTACCGCAGCTTCCCTTTCCTACTTGGTTGCTCAAAGACCGACTGGAGACTGAGTTTGCCAAGTTCATGGCAATGCCGAAGCAGGTAAACATAAGCATGCCCTTCGTGGAGGCATTATCGAAGATGCCCAAGTATGCCAAGTTCATGAAGGGTCTCCTCACCAACAAGAGGAAGCTTGGGGAGCTGTAAACGCTGATGCTCAACGAGGAGTGTTCTGCCATCCTGCAGAACAAACTACCAGAGAAGCAAATAGACCCATGGAGTTTCACTATCCCTTGCATGATTGGTAGTTTGCATTTGAGAAGTCCTTGGCGGATTTAGGCACTAGCATAAACGTAATGCCATATAAACTGTTTAAAAAGCTAGGCCTAGGTGAACCCAGTGATACTAGGATGAGCATTCAACTTGCTGATAGATCCATTGTGCATCCTAGGGGCATTGCAGAAGACCTGATAGTCGCAGTAGGGCCATTCTCATATCCTGTTGATTTTGTGATTTTGGACATAAATGAGGATGTGGATGTGCCATTAATATTGGGTAGACCTTTTCTCGCCACCACCAAGGCGCTCATTGATGTGAATGATGGGAAATTAATTTTGCGAGCTGGGGGTGAACAAATCACCTTCTCTGTTTCCGATAATATGAAACACCCTCAGCTCCATGATGATCTAGACTACTGTGATGTTGTTGCTGATTTTGAGACCGCACTCGCCATCACGAGTGCGGGTACTGACAATTTCCTTGAGCGTTGTCTTTTGCTAGGGGAACATGCATCACAAGCTATGCAGCTGGAGGAGCAGCTCGCGGAGCTAGACGAGGCCGCGATCGAGGGGCGAGAGATACCATTCAAGCCGATCCCTATCTCGCCTCGGATCGCTACATCATTGGAGAAGCCACCAGAGCTGGAGCTTAAGTCCCTCCTCTCTCACCTGGAGTATGCATTTCTCCGGGAGGGGAATAAGCTCCTGGTCATTATTAACTCAAATCTGACACCCGAGTAGAAGAGCAAGCTGGTGGCTCTGCTGCAGAAGTATGCCCGGGCCATGGCATGGAAGATCACAAATATCATAGGCATTAGCCCATCCTTCTGCTCCCATAGAATTTTGATGGAGGATGAGGTTAAGCCAGTCAGGCAGCCGTAGCGGAGATTGTCTCCTAACTTGGAGGCAGTGGTCCGGGCAGAGATTGTGAAGCTCATGGATGCAGGGATCATCTTTGCTATATCTGATAGCAAGTGGGCCAGCCCCACTCAGGTGGTCCTAAAGAAAGGCGGGATGACTGTGGTCCCGAATGAGAAGAAAGAGCTGATCCCGATGCAGACCATGACCGGGTGGAGAGTCTGCATCGATTACCAGCGCCTGAACGACGCCACCAGGAAAGATCATTTTCCCCTACCTTTCATTGATCAGATGCTGGAGAGGTTGGCTGGTCATGAGTTTTATTGCTTCCTGGATGGCATGTCTGGTTATTTCCATATTCCTATTGCACCAGAGGATCAGGAGAAGACCACATTTACTTGCCCCTTCGGTACTTTTGCTTACCGGAGGATTCCATACGGGCTGTGTAATGCACCGGCGACCTTCCAGAGATGCATGATGGCGATCTTCGACCGACTAGTCGGAGAGATCATGGAAGTCTTCATGGATGACTTCTCGATTTATGGAGACTCCTTCACTCATTGTCTCCATAACCTGGAACTCGTCTTGAAGAGGTGTGAGGAGACTAATCTGGCACTCAGCTGGGAGAAGTGCCATTTTATGGTCCGTGAGGGGATTGTGCTCGGGCACAAGATCTCCAAGCAGGGGATTGAGGTTGATCGCGCAAAGATTGAGACGATCAGTAAGCTACCTCCTCCCGTTTCTGTGAAGGGAATTCGCAGCTTTCTGGGTCATGCAAGTTTTTACCGGCGCTTCATTAAAGATTTCTCGAAGATTGCCTTGCCTCTGACCAAGCTGCTGGAGAAGGATGCACCATTCCAGCTCACTCCTGAGTGCACTGCTGCATTCGAGACTCTGAAGGAGAAGCTTACCCATGCACCTATCATGGTGACTCCTGACTGGTCTCTTCCTTTTGAGCTGATGTGCGATGCGAGTGACTATGCAGTCGGAGCAGTTATGGGTCAGAGACGCGGGAAGCACTTCCATCCCATCTACTACGCGTCAAAGACCTTAAACGATGCACAGGAGAATTACACCACCACTGAGAAGGAGCTCCTCGTTGTCGTGTATGCATTTGATAAGTTCCGACCCTATCTGGTGCTCTCCCATGTGGTGGTCCACACTGATCACTCGGTGATTCGCTACCTGATGAGCAAGGCTGATGCAAAGCCTAGGCTCATCCGCTGGATCCTGCTTCTACATGAATTTGATATCGAAATCCGGGACAAGAAGGGAGCCGAGAATGTTGCAGCAGATCATCTTTCACGGTTGGAAGCCCCTCCGGTGGACAACTTCGTGGAAGAAATCGATGACTCCTTCGCGGGTGAGAGATTGCTGGCGATGACACTGGTGGATAGCGTGGTCCCTTGGTATTCTGACTTTGCCAATTATCTGGTGGGCAAGCAGCTACCCAAGGGATGGCCACTCATGCAAAGCGCAAGTTCTTCTCTGACCTGAAGCATTATTTCTGGGAGGATCCTTACCTCTTAAGTAGTGTTTATTAGCAGTTTGGCTTGGAAATACTAGCATTTTTGTGACCTCCTTCTCTCTTGTGCTCTAGAGAATTTGAGTAATGCAGAATAGCATGAACAAAGTTATTGGTTTGATTGGCTGTGAGTTTGTTGGGTTTGGAAATGTGGAACCTTGTGCTATGAATACTTCCACCACTTAAAAGGCCTTTTCCCCATCTCCAAGACCCTAGCCAGTCATTTGAACCTGTGTCTAAGACCTCCAGATTAGTTAGTGATGACACCCATTTTTGTGAGCTCTAACACTTAGAGGCTGCTGTCATGGTGAAGAGATGTTAGGGATTGAGGGAATAAGTATGCGCTATTTTCGGATCAAATTGTCCTGACCCCACTGGTCGAGAGTGAGCGATTCATTTCCTTGTTCTTTACACTCTTTACCCCGGTGAGGACTAACTCACTTCTACTGTCACTCTAGGAATTGGCCAAGTGAAACCACTTCCTAAAGCGTAGTATAGCGGGCTTGGGTTTAAATGTCAACCCGGGTCCTAGGTTTGATGACTACTCGGTGAATTCTTGTTATCTAGCAATGAAACTTTAATGCAAGTCTAAACTAACAAACTAACAAAGCAAGTAAACTGTTGTATTCAGGTTAAGAGAGGTCACCCGGATATGGTTCCCCCTAGACTGCAGTTAAGCCGGATCGTAATTACCAAGTTCAGTTTCTATGATAGTTATACTGCGGAAGGTTCTTAAACAGCCTGAAGTCTCGACTAAAGGTCTTCAGACCCTCTCAATCTGAGTCTCTAGCGGGCGACTAACCTCCACTGGAGTAAACTGATTGAGGCCTGAACAAACAAAACCTCCACTACCGGAGTAAATCCGGTACAGAATAGTGAGTTGGCTCCTCGACTAAAGTCACCAACTCCCTACCTTCAATCAAGGATGCTCTATCAACCTAGGCAGATATTCTCATTCTAGGTTAAAGCATAAACAACAGGAATTTGATCAGGATTCATGCCATTCAATCAATCAAACCTCAATTGAATATAATCAAATCATAGAATCAGTACTTGGGTTCATACAATCAAAGCCTAACATACAAATCTAGGGTTCACCATACCCAGATGAATGGGAGAACTACTCCATGGAGAAAGAAGCAAAAGCAGAATCAGACGCGGAATTCATACTGTGAAGGATGGATTCCTGCTCTTGTACGTTGATCGGCACTTCTCCAAGCTCAAACTGGCCTCCAATGGTGCTGAAGATCAAGCTAGGGCACTTGGAGACTCTTGTTCGTCGCTTTCTCTCTCTAGGAATCGCTCTATCACTCTCAAAACTCGAATCCTCTTCTGTTTTGGCTGAAATCTGCTTAAAAGGGCATCAGTGGCCAAAGCACGGTCTAGGGCACGGCCGTGCTTTGCCTCAGCCCGCCCGTGCTTTGGCTAGGGTTAATTACACGGCCATTGTGTTGGTGCAAACACGGCCGTGCTTTGGAGAGGACACGGCCGTGCATTGGGTGGACACGGTCGTGCTTTCAGCCCGTGTTTTGCCAATGTTTGCCAAACTCGAATTTGCTCTCGGCAGTAAAAGCACGGCCACAGAACACGGCCGTGTTCTGTTTTAGGTGTGCCCGTGTTTTGGCTCCAGCTCGACGAAATGAATTCCGAATGCCCCGAAACTCGTGCTTAACCTTCCCTTTGACGCCTGGGACCTGAAATATGACCAAATAGCACAACCCGGCGTAAAATAGGCCAAAATACACGACTATGCCTCTCAAACGGATAAGAACTAGGGGCGCAAATATGTGCAATTACATCGTTATCAAACTCCCCCACACTTAACCGTTTGCTTGTCCTCAAGCAAACCCAACTCAAACCAATGCAACTCTCCAGACCTCTATAGCAACAAACAAACCAGATCGTAGGTAGAGGACATCCTAGATCATTTAGCAGCTTACGAGGTCAACCGACGCACAAGTTATCTCATAGCTTCTTCGGCGAGAGCACTAGTATCGAGTCGTCATCATGGCAAATAGTGAATAGAGGACAAATGAATTGTGGATGAAGAGATTCTCAAAAACAAAGGATCATGGACTCACATTTTTCAAGGTGCTCTATTTTCTTCTTGAAGATGGTTGGAACCCCTTTTCTTTATGTTTTGCTTGTTTTCTGTTATTTTTTCTTTTCTTTTTTCCAAGGGTCCCAACCTGCTCTTACCGGCCATGCCAGGATCGGATGTCTCGATCCTCGTGCGGGGGAAAGTCATGTAAGGGGGCTGGAGGTAGTAGGTGGAAATTGGGAATGAATTCCCGTCTCCCCTTACACACTTTCGCCCTATTCGCACGGGAGACGTTATTTTGAAGCACATTTTCGAGCACCTGTTAAACTCAAAACATGAAACAAGAGTCCATGACAGGTAGAGAGTCCACAACACCACACAATTCAAGGGTCCTACGATCACTAATTCACTCAATCAACCAACACAATATGAAGAAGAAATGAGACTTCTTAAATGCATCAACATCCTCCATAGTGCTACACTACCTCCCTAGGTTGCATATTACTATAGAGACTGTCAATTCAAAGCATACTGAGCAGGCAATTGCACGGAAATACGTACTTGGAGCCCTCAAATTTAAAAATTTGGACAGTGGACTAGGCTCCAAGCACACAAACAGATCTAATGCAGTCAAAAGATAAACATCCCCCCACACTTAAGATCGACATTGCCCTCAATGGAAGGGGAAAGGGGAACGATATTACCGGTATGCACGGACTGCAGGGGACTGGAAGCGGACCAGTCGGAGTGAAGCGGACTGGAGAGAGGACCAGTCAAGACAAGCACAACCAAAAGAAACCAAAGAGCTCAAGCACAATATGTTAGGTCCAATGGTCAGCCCAATAAGACATCATTCAAAACAAAAGAAAACAAACCAAAACCAAACTGGTTTACAATCCGACTCAAAACACAAGAAAGAAAATCAAACCGTGGTGGGGTTGCCTCCCCACAAGTGCTTCTTTACCGTCTTTTAGCTGGACGCCCATGGTGGATACTCAGGGAGGTGCAGGAACATGTGCCTCCAAGAGCGGATCCACGTCGCTCTTGAGGTACAGCTTCAGGTTGTGGCCATGCACCCGACGGATGCGACCACCATCATCGGTCAGCTCGACCTGGCCATTCGGCAAGATGCAGGCGAGTGAGTACCCGAACAGCCAGGGTGGTCGTGGTGCAGGAGGTGGGACCCGCTCATAGTGGTCTCTACTCTTCTTCCGTGCAGGCTTAGCAACCTGCTGCTTCGGCCGCCACTCCTCCTTGATCTTTTTGTTCGGAGGCGAGGCTGGATGGAGTGGAGGCGAAGGAATGATAGGAGGGTCCTGCAAAATGAGAGGTGCAGAAGGATACACGACAGGCTCATGTACCTGATCAGAAATGGCATGTACAGGCGTGATAGCAATCATAGCACAGTGATCAAATTCAGTCACAGAAAAAGTAGCTTGTTCATTCCCAGCACGCAGGATCAGTTTACCATCATGCACATCAATAAGTGTCTTGGCGGTGGCGAGAAACGGTCTTCCCAGAATCAAAGGCACATCCACATCCTCATGTATATCAAGAATAACAAAATCAACAGGATATGTGAATGCACCTACATTAACTAGCAGATCCTCTATGATCCCCCTAGGATGCACAATGGAACGATCAGCTAGCTGAATGCTCATCCTAGTAGGGCTAAGTTCACCTAGGTCTAGATTTTTATACAACTTATATGGCATGACATTTATGCTAGCGCCTAGGTCCGCCAAGGACTTGCCTACATGCATGCTGCCAATAGTAAGAGGGATAGTAAAACTCCCTGGATCCTTGCGCTTTTCGGGCAGCTTGTTCTGCAGGATAGCAGAACACTCCTCGCTCAGCCATCACTGTCGAGAGATCCCCAAGTTTCTTCTTGTTGGTGCAGATATCTTTCATGAACTTGGCATACTTGGGCATCTTCGACAGTGCCTCCATGAACGGTATGCTGATGTTGAGCTGCTTCAACATTGCCATGAACTTGGCAAACTCAGTCTCCAGCTTGTCCTTGTGTAGGCGAGTGGGGAAGGGAAGCTGGGGTACATGCTCCTTAACCACTGGTTGTGGCTTGGGAGCAGGGGCTTCCTTCTCCACCCGCACTTCTGCATCGTCGACTGGAAGTGCTGAAGCAGGTAGTGGTTCCTCCTGTCTGGCCAGGACAGGATCAGCAGATATGGTCTTACCGCTCCTGGTAAAAATGGCATCCAGCTACTGGAGCTGGTGAGGATCCCGAGGATTCGGGATAGTGGTGGAAGGCAGAGTTCCTGGTGCCCTGGTGGTGCTTTGGCGGGCAAGATACCCACCTGCTGCTGCAGATCTTGCAAAATGGCACCCTGGTTCCGCTGACCTGCCTCCAGTGAGGCTATGCTCTGCTGGGTGGTAGTCATGAATGCCGCTAGAATGTTTTTCAGCTTCGTCATCTGATTATCTGGAGCCGGCGCTGCTGCTGGCTCGGCAAACTAACGCTGGGGCTGCTGGAATGGTTGCCCCTGCCTAGGCTGGTAGGCCTATTGCTGTGGGGCTGGCCCCTGTCGAGCCTGGAAGGGCTGCCTCTGCTGAAAGCCACCAGCTGGTGCTGGGAAACCAGGTGGTTTAGTGGTGTTGTTATTCCAAGAGAAATTGGGATGTTGGCGCCACCCCTCATTATATGTATTACTGTAGGGGTCAAAGCGCCGAGCATTGGCGATGAAGACCAACTGCTCTTGGGGAGTAGTTAACTCCCGCATAGCCTGGCAGTCTTCCACCAGATGATTTAAGCTCTCACACCACTGACATTGAGCTACTGGAGGTGTACCCAAACCTCTGCCCGAAATAAGACTGTTGGGCTGCTTTAATGTCTGCACTAACTCGGCCACCTGCTGCTCGAGCCCGGACCTGGCCTCCATGGCATGCACACCACGGTCTCGGGGATTTCTGCCTCTACTGCTCTGCCCCCAGGAATGATCTCTAGCAGCCAAGGTACTGATCATCTGGTTCAGTTCGGGTGGAGTCTTAGTAAGAATATCCCCTCCTGGGCATAGAGACTCAATCACCCTCTGGCTTTCCGGAGAGAGGGCACTGTAGAAGTTCCCCACTGTGAATGCATCACTGTAGCCATGATGGGGACACTGCGAGAAATATCCCATGTACCACTCCCATGCATCACGAAGTGACTCGTCTAGCTCTTGGCGGAAGTGAGTGATCTCCCGCTGGATCTCTGTGGTCTTAGATGCTGGGTAGTACCTGTGCACGAACTTGTCAGCCAGATCATCCCAAGAAGTGATGGACAATGGGGGCTGGGTCTCCAACCACCTCTTAGCATTCCCCGCCGGAGAATGGGGGAAGAGGTGAAGGCGGATTGCGTCATCAGGGACACCGTTCAGCTTGAACCCGTTCGTCAGCTGCAGAAAACGGGAAAGATGCACCCTTGCCTCCTCATCCTTCGAGCCATGGAACTGGATAGATGATGTAATGAGTTGAATCCAGTATGGCTTGATCTTGAAGTTGTTCGCTGGAATAGGCGGGTAGAGGATGACCGGGCGGATGTCAGCAATCCGTGGAGTGTAGTAGTACTCCAAGGTGGGACCCGGCGGCGGTGGATGATGATGAACCCCATCTGCCTGGGGTATGGGGTTGTTCGCCAAGACCTGATTCACCGGGGGAACCTGGTGAGGATTCCCCTGGTGTGGATTGTAATCTCCTTCCATCTCGTACTCTTCCTTAGAATCGCTGCTCAAGTAGCCGTCTATGCGCTCCTCCGTAGCCAGTCTAGCTCGTTGTTGTCTCCTGAGTTGGCGACAGGTGCGTTCAATCTCCGGATTCAACGGCAGTAAACCTCCCGACTGGCTACGGGTCATGCACTACCTGCACACAGTCAAGCAAGCAAACCCGTGAAGGCACAAGTGGGAAAGAACAAGCAGTCAATGCGAAAACGAAAATGCTAAAGTAAAAAAAATCACTTTTCTTCAACAACCTAGCCGTCCCCGGCAATGGCGCCAAAAACTTGACTCACTCCTACTGTCACTCTAGAAAATGGCCAAGTGAAACCACTTCCTAAAGCGTAGTATAGCGGGTTTGGGTTTTAATGTCAACCCGGGTCCTAGATGTGATGACTACTCAGTGAATTCTTATTATCTAGCGGTAAAACTTAAGTGAAGGTTCAAACAAACAAAAACACAAAGCAAGTTAAACGGTTGTTTCAAGTCGAGAGAGGTCAGCCGGATATGATTCCCCCTAGACTGCAGTTAAGCCAGATTGCAATTACCAAGTTCAGTTTCTATGATAGTTATACTGCGGAAGGTTCTTAAACAGTCTGAAGTCTCGACTAAAGGTCTCCAGACCCTCTCAATCTGAGTCTCCGGCGGGCAACTAACCTCCACCGGAGTAAACAGATTGAGGCCCTAACGAACAAAACCTCCACTACCGAAGTAAATTCGGTACAGAATAGTGAATTGGCTCCTCGACTAAAGTCGCCAATTCACTACCTTCAATTAAGGGTGCTCTATCAACCTAGGCAGATATTCTCTTTCTAAGTTAAAGCAGAAACAACATGAATTTGATCAAGATTCATGCCATTCAATCATTCAAACCTTAATTGAATATAATCAAATCATAGAATCTGTACTTGGGTTCATACAATCAGACCTAACATACAAATCTAGGGTTCTCCATACCCAGATGAATGAGAGAACTACTCCATGGAGAAAGAAGCAAAAGCAGATTCAGATGCGGAAACCATACTGTGAAGGATGGATTTCTGCTTCTGGTTGTCGATCGACACTTCTCCAAGCTCAAGCCGGGCGCCAATGATGATGAAGATCAAGCTAGGGCACTTGGGAACTCTTGTTTGTCGCTTTGTGCCCTTTGCCACGTGTTAAAAACACGGCCAGACTTTAGGGAAAACACGGTCGTGCCAAATGTTGGACACGACCGTGTTTTGGGACAGCCCCGCCCGTGTTTTGGGCCAGTGCAGGACAAACTTGGGTGAAGCCTCAGTAGTAAAAACACGGTCCAGGAACACGGTCGTGCTTTGATTTAGGTGCGCCCATGCTTTGGCTCCAGCTCGACCGAATGACTTCCGAATGCCCCGAAACTCGTGCTTAGCCTTTCTTTCTACGTCTGGGACCTGAAATATGACAAAGTAGCACAACTCGGCGTAAAATAGGCCAAAAATACACGACTATGCCCCACAAACGATAAGAACTAGGGTTGCAAACATGTGCAATTACATCGTTATCAAATTCCCCCACACTTAACCGTTTGCTTGTCCCCAAGCAAACCATGTCAGACACAAGGTAAGCTCAAAGCCTTTCAATCAAGCAGGCTTTAGGACATATCATATCGGCACAAAACACGTGGATCATACTGGCTTTCGATCATTAACACATGGGCAACTCCAACGACAACCTAGACAACCACCACAGATGACATTCGAATGCAGTAAAGTCGAGCAAAGGAAGAGTTCCCTTCTGTTCACCAACAAACATAGACTTGACCCAACCACTTATTCAAAACAGTCACTTCATGCATAAAGCTCAAGATATCAGAATTAAGACCGAGCAATCTAGGTCCTCACCGGGATAAAGAGTATAGAGAATATGAGAAAATGAATCGCTCACTTCCAGACCCATCTTTTGGGACCAGCAATTCTTCGAGAGGAACTGCCTCCCGGAGTTCGCAGGCGCTGTGTTCACACCGGGCTACACCACGGCTACTCAGCTGCTCCTAGAGTGGCGCATCCTCAACCAAATGTTGGGGAAATCTTACACCCCCAGCGATGGCTCCACCAGTCATCTTCCGCTCCGCACGTTGCACTGCCTGCACTCCATCAGCCAGGATGAAGACAATCTTCATTTGTCCTCTCTCAACGCCAATACGGTCGCCAAGGCCTCTCGCTGTGGTCGTGCTCTGGCGCGGTACTTCAACATCGACCTCTCCGGGTTAACTGTCATACTGCCACCGACACCCTTCTCCAGGGACACCCTACGGCGCCAGCTGATACTGCAGCATGACGGGGACATGACCTGGATCCGAAGACTTCCTCGCCCTGTTCCTCGTCCACCAGAGGGCGAGTATCTCCCCGAGGCGAGCGATGCTGCAGCTCGTCGGACCACTCGCCGGACCAATCGTCGGACCACACCTTCAGCAGCTGGCGCCTCCACTTCCGCTGCTGGCCCGTCTGCTGCTGCACCCACCTCCTACATTGCTGAGCAGCTGGCAGCCCTTTCCCGCCAGAACGAGCAGATCCTTGCTGGCCAGGAGCACATCAACGCCCAACTCGACCGTGAGCGCGACGGTCGGCGCCGCATCATTTCGGCTCAGCATTACATGATGAGCTACTAGGACATGGACCCTGCTGCTGTTAGCTAACCTTGGGAGGCTTCCCCGGGGCATGAGGATTTCTACCCGCATCCCACTAGCGACGGAGGCGATGAGAACTGATCTGGCTCGGCCTACTCGCCCATCGAGTTGGGCTCAATATTGTGTTTCCAGACTAAGACTCAGAGTCCATATTGTGTTTCCTTTTCTATTTGTCTTGTTTCTTTGGATTGTATACTTGGAACTATGGTTTCTTTCACCCCATGTGTGTGTTTTGCTGACTATAGCTCTGTGTCGTTGGACTGGTCCTTATCCAGTCCTCTACTATTGACTGGTCCGCCCTCTAGTCCCCGTTCCTGACCACTGTTTCATGGTAACATCATCCCCCTTCCCTCTGCTCCATTGAGGACACTGTCGCATTTAAGTATGGTGGGGTTCTTTGTATTCATTGAAACGTATATAGGTGTTCTTGGAGCCTAGTCCGCTGTCCAAATCTCGAGATTTGAGGGCTCCAAGCACTGTTTTTTGCTTGATCATACAGGCACTGTGGTTTAATTGGTGAATCGAATGGCTTTCGAATTAATGCATGACAACTGGAATGTGACTAGGACAACCTATAATGATGACTGAGACGTGCAGTAGAATTGTTTAGGAGTTCAGTTTTTCAACTGTTTGCTTACCAACTGTGACTTGGATTGATCACTTGTTCTTGATAGTCATTTATGCATCTAGTTCAGGGAATCAGAATGAGAGATAGAGCATATAGGTAGCCATGTGAGATTTGAGCCTGCTCGTTTCTTTCTTGCGCGATAGTTCCCTCTTCCATGATGTGCAGCATTCACGTTGTCATTAGTTAAGATGATGGAGGCATAGGATTAGCCCACGACCAAATTGACTGTCCTGGTGTGTCATACCCCCTAGTCAGCCCCTTTGAGCCGTGTGTTATCCTTTCTTTCGGTCTACAATTGAAAATCACCCTTTTGCATCTCTTAGAAGGTTCCACAGAGTGGTTTTTACATGTTCTCTGCTGTTTTTGCTAAATATATTGTGAGGGTTGGAGGTAGTGCTTAAAAATTGGGCATGTGTTTGAAAAATAGGGTTGGAGGTAGTCCTTAAAAATTGGGCATGTGTTTGAAAAATGTGCAGAGGTGGTGGTTCTCTTAAGAAATGAAAAAAAATGAAAGCAAAAGAGAGCCACTACAAAAAATCTGAATAGTGCCCTTAAGTAGTGTTTCTTAGCAGTTTGGCTTGGAAATACTAGCATTTTTGTGACCTCCTTCGCTCTTGTGCTCTAGAGAATTTGAGTAATGCAGAATAGCAGGAAGAAAGTTATTGATTTGATTGGCTGTGAGTTTGTTGGGTTTGGAAATGTGGAACCTTGTGCTATGAATACTTCCACCACTTAAAAGGTCTTTTCCCCATGTCCAAGACCCTAGCCAGTCATTTGAACCTGTGTCTAAGACCTCCAGATTAGTTAGTGATGACACCCATTTTTGTGAACTTGATAACGATGTAATTGAACGTATTTGCGCCCCTAATTCTTATCCGTTTGAGGGGCATAGTCGTGTGTTTTTGGCCTATTTTATGCTGGGTTGTGCTATTTTGTCATTTTTCAGGTCCCAGGCATCAAAGGGAAGGCTAAGCACGAGTTTCGGCGCATTCGGAGGTCATTTCGTCAAGCTGGAGCCAAAACACGGGCACACCTAAAACAGAACACGGCTGTGTTCTGTGGCCGTGCTTTTACTGCCGAGAGCTAATTGAGTTTGGCAAATTCAAGCTGAAAACACGGGCTGAAAGCACGGGCGTGTTCTCCCAAAGCACTGCTGTGTTTTCACCAACACAATGGCCGTGTAATTAACCCTAGCCAAAGCACGGGCGGGCTGAGGCAAAGCATGGCCGTGCCCTCGAGCGTGCTTTGGCCTCTGATGGCCTTTTAAGCAGATTTTCAGCCAAAGAGAAGGGGATTCGAGTTTTAGAGAGATAGAGCGATTCCTAGAGAGAGAAAGCGACGAACAAGAGTCTCCAAGTGCCCTAGCTTGATCTTCAATACCATTGGAGGCCAGTTTGAGCTTGGAGAAGTGCCGATCAACGTCCAGGAGCAGGAATCCATCCTTCACAGTATGAATTCCGCGTCTGATTCTGCTTTTTCTTCTTTCTCCATGGAGTAGTTCTCTCATTCATCTGGGTATGGAGAACCGTAGATTTGTATGTTAGGCTTTGATTGTATGAACCCAAGTACTGATTCTATGATTTGATTATATTCGATTGAGGTTTGAATGATTGAATGACTTGAATCCTGATCAAATTCCTGTTGTTTCTGCTTTAACCTAGAATGAGAATATCTGCCTAGGTTGATAGAGCATCCTTGATTGAAGGTAGGGAGTTGGTGACTTTAGTCGAGGAGCCAACTCACTATTCTGTACCGGATTTACTCCGGTAGTGGAGGTTTTGTTTGTTAAGGCCTCAATCTGTTTACTCCGGTGGAGGTTAGTCGCCCGCTAGAGACTCAGATTGAGAGGGTCTGAAGACCTTTAGTAGAGACTTCAAGCTATTTAAGAACCTTCCGCAGTATAACTATCATAGAAACTGAACTTGGTAATTACAATCCGGCTTAACTGCAGTCTAGGGGGAACCATATCTGGGTGACCTCTCTTAACTTGAATACAACCGTTTGTTTGCTTTGTTAGTTTCTTAGTTTAGACTTGCATTAAAGTTTCATTGCTAGATAACAAGAATTCACTGAGTAGTCATCAAATCTAGGACCTGGGTTGATAATTAAACCCAAACCCGCTATACTACGCTTTAGGAAGTGGTTTCACTTGGCCAATTTCTGGAGTGACAGTAGAAGTGAGTCAAGTTTTTGGCGCCGTTGCCGGGGACGGCTAGGTTGTTGAAGAAAAGTGATTTCTGTTAATTTAGCTTTTCTTTTTGCTTTGTTTGCTTTGTCCCACTTGTGCCTTCACGGGTTTGCTTGCTTGAGTGTGTGCAGGTAGTGCATAACCCGTAGCCAGTCAGGAGGTTTACTGCCGTTGAATCCAGAGATTGATCGCACCTGTCACCAGCTCAGGAGACAACAACGAGCTAGACTGGCTACGGAAGAGCGCATAGACGGCCACCTGAGTAGCGATTCTGAATAAGAGCACGGGATGGACCCCATACCCCAGGACCATGGGGTTCATCATCCACCGTAGTCGGGTCCCACCTTGGAGTACTACTACACTCCTCGGATTGCTGACATCCGCCCGGTCATCCTCTACCCGCCGATTCCAGCAAATAACTTCGAGATCAAGCCATGCTGGATTCAGCTCATTACATCCTATCAGTCCTTCGCCGCCACTCCATCCAGTCTCGCCTCCGAACAAAAAGCTCCTGCACCACGACCACGAACAAAAATATCAAGGAGGAGTGGCGGCCGAAGCAGCAGGTTGCTAAGCCTGCACGGAAGAAGAGTGGAGACCACTACGAGCTGGTCCCACCTCCTGCACCACGACCACCCTGGCCGTCCGGGTACTCACTCGCCTGCATCTTGCCGGATGGCCAGGTCGAGCTGACCGATGATGGTGGTCGCATCAGTCGGGTGCATGGCCACAACCTGAAGCTGTACCTCAAGAGCGACGTGGATCCGCTCTTGGAGGCACCTGTTCCTTCACCTCCCTGAGTATCCACCATGGGCGTCCAGCTAAAAGACGGTAAAGAAGCGCTTGTGGGGAGGCAACCCCACCACGGTTTGACTTTCTTTCTTGTGTTTTGAGTCGGATTGTAAACCGGTTTGGTTTTGGTTTGTTTTCTTTTGTTTTGGATGATGTATTATTGGGCTGACCGTTGGACCTAACATATCGTGTTTGAGCTCTTTGGTTTCCTTTAGCTGTGCTTGTCTTGACTGGTCCTCTATCCAGTCCACTTCACTCCGACTGGTTCTCTTCCAGTCTCCTGCAGTCCGTGCATACCGGTAACATCGTTCCCCTTTCCCTTCCCTCTTCTCCATTGAGGGCAATGTCGATCTTAAGTGTGGGGGGATGTTTATCTTTTGACTGCATTAGATCTGTTTGTGTGCTTGCAGCCTAGTCCACTGTCCAAATTTTTAAATTTTGAGGGCTCCAAGTACGTGTTCCGTGCAATTGCCTGCTCAGTATGCTTTGAATTGACAGTCTTTATAGTAATATGCAACCTAGGGAGGTAGTGTAGCAGTATGGAGGATGTTGATGCATTTAAGAAGTCTCATTTCTTCTTCATATTGTGTTGGTTGATTGAGTGAATTAGTGATCTTAGGACCCTTGAATTGTGTGGTGTTGTGGACTCTCTACCTGTCATGGACTCTTGTATCATGTTTTGAGTTTAACAGGTGCTCGAAAATGTGCTTCAAAATAACGTCTCCTGTGCGAATAGGGCGAAAGTGTGTAAGGGGAGACGGGAATTCGTTCCCAATTTCCACCTACTACCTCCAGCCCCCTTACATGTCTTTCCCCCGCACGAGGCTCGAGACATCCGCTCCTGGCATGGCCGGTTGGGACCCTTGAAAAAAGAAAATAAAAATTAAATAACAGAAAACAAGCAAAACAGAAAGAAAAGGGGTTCCAACCATCTTCAAGAAGAAAATAGAGCACCTTGAAAAATGTGAGTCCATGATCCTTTGTTTTTGAGAATCTCTCCATCCACGATTCATTTGTCCTCTGTTCACTATTTGCCATGATGCCGACTCGATACTAGCGCTCTCGTCGAAGAAGCTATGAGATGACTTGTGCGTCGGTTGATCTCGTAAGTTGCTAAATGATCTAGGAAGTCCTCTACCTACGATCTGGTTTGTTTGTTGCTATAGAGGTCTGGAGAGTTGCATTGGTTTGAGTTAGGTTTGCTTGGGGACAAGCAAACGGTTAAGTGTGGGGGAATTTGATAACGATGTAATTGCACGTATTTGCGCCCCTAGTTCTTATCCGTTTGAGGGGCATAGTCATGTTTTTTTGCCTATTTTATGCCAGGTTGTGCTATTTGTCATGTTTCAGGTCCCAGGAATCAAAGGGAAGGCTAAGCACGAGTTTCGGGGCATTCGGAGGTCATTTCGTCAAGCTGGAGCCAAAACACGGGCACACCTAAAACAGAACACAGCCGTGTTCTGTGGCCGTGCTTTTACTGCCGAGAGCTAATTGAGTTTGGCAAATTCAAGCTGAAAACACGGGCTGAAAGCACGGGCGTGTTCTTCCAAAGCACGGGCGTGTTCTCCCAAAGCACGGCCGTGTTTTCACCAACACAATGGCCGTGTAATTAACCATAGCCAAAGCACGGGCGGGCTGAGGCAAAGCATGGCCGTGCCCTCGACCGTGCTTTGGCCTCTGATGCCCTTTTAAGCAGATTTTCAGCCAAAGAGAAGGGGATTCGAGTTTTAGAGAGATAGAGCGATTCCTAGAGAGAGAAAGCGACGAACAAGAGTCTCCAAGTGCCCTAGCTTGATCTTCAACTCCATTGGAGGCCAGTTTGAGCTTGGAGATGTGCCGATCAACGTCCAGGAGCAGGAATCCATCCTTCACAGTATGAATTCCACGTCTGATTCTGCTTTTACTTCTTTCTCCATGGAGTAGTTCTCCCATTCATCTGGGTATGGAGAACCCTAGATTTGTATGTTAGGCTTTGATTGTATGAACCCAAGTACTGATTCTATGATTTGATTATATTCGATTGAGGTTTGAATGATTGAATGACTTGAATCCTGATCAAATTCCTGTTGTTTCTGCTTTAACCTAGAATGAGAATATCTGACTAGGTTGATAGAGCATCCTTGATTGAAGGTAGGGAGTTGGTGACTTTAGTCGAGGAGCCAACTCACTATTCTGTACCGGATTTACTCCGGTGGAGGTTAGTCGCCTGCTAGAGACTCAGATTGAGAGGGTCTGAAGACCTTTAGTCGAGACTTCAGGCTGTTTAAGAACCTTCTGCAGTATAACTATCATAGAAACTGAACTTGGTAATGACAATCCGGCTTAACTGCAGTCTAGGGGGAACCATATCTGGGTGACCTCTCTTAACTTGAATACAACCGTTTGTTTGCTTTGTTAGTTTGTTAGTTTAGACTTGCATTAAAGTTTCATTGCTAGATAACAAGAATTCATTGAGTAGTCATCAAATCTAGGACCCGGGTTGATAATTAAACCCAACCCGCTATACTATGCTTTAGGAAGTGGTTTCACTTGGCCAATTCCTGGAGTGGCAGTAGAAGTGAGTCAAGTTTTTGTGTGAACTCTAACACTTAGAGGTTGCCGTCATGGTGAAGAGATGTTAGGGATTGAGGGAATAAGTATGCGCATTTTTCGGATCAAATTATCTTGACCCCACTGGTCGAGAGTGAACGATTCATTTCCTTGTTCTTTACACTCTTTACTCCGGTGAGGACCTAGATGGCTCAGTCTTGATTCTGATGTCTTGAGTTTTATGCATGAGTTGACTGCCTTTAATAAGTGGTTGAGTCAAGTCTAGGTTGGTTGGTGAACAGAAGGGAAACTCCTCCTTTACTCGATTTTGTTGCACTCGAATGTCCTCTGTGGTGGTTGTCTAGGTTGCGGTTGAAGTTGTTCAGGTGTTGATGTTTGAAAGCCAGTATGATTCCCGTGTTTCATGCATATGTGATATGTCCCCAAGGGGTTGCATGATTGAGATATTTCGAGCTTACCTTGTATCTGGCTTGGTTTGCTTGGTGACAAGCAAACAGTTAAGTGTGGGGGAATTTGATAGCATCGTATTTGCACATGTTTTCACCCTTGTTTCCTGACCATTTTAGCTCGAATTTGTTGTTCATTGGCCTATTTTATGCTAGGTTGTGTTGTTTTGGCGTATTTCAGGTCCTAGCGAGTAAAGAGGTGCATAGGCACAAGTTTCGGGTCATTTGGAGGTTGGGTTGCGTTTCAAAGAGAAAATTACGGGCAGCCCGTGCACAGTTACGGTCGTAAATTTTCCTGGCATGCCCGTAATTTAAATGCCGAGCCTAATTTCTAGAATTCGTGTCGCAGAGTCAATTACGGGCAAGAGTCACTCTAATTACGGTCGTATTTAATAATTACTGGCGGTAATTGGCAAATTATGACCGTAAATCCTCTCTTTCGAGTCAGGTGAAACGCGCGTTTTGTGCAATTACGGGCAGACCATGATTACGACCGTAATTCTGCCCGTAATTCGCCCAGAATCGGGTTTTTGAGACAGATTCGAGCCAAAACAGGGGGGATCGACTTTTCATAGCAAAAACAGAGTTTTAGAGAGAGAAAGGGTGAAGAACAAACCCTAGGAGCTATTTGGAGTGGATTTCTCACCATTGAAGCCAAGATTGCGTCCCTAGGAGTGAAGATTGACATCCCAGAGTAGATTTTCCTCATCTTTATGAGTATGACTACTCTGATTTCTATTTTCCTCTCTCTCTATGGAGTAGGAACCCTTCTCTCACTTGGGTATGAAGAACCCTAGTTCCATGTGTTAGGATCATGATTGTAATGACTTGGGATTGCAATACTGTTTGGTTTTAATCGAATGATGCATGATTCATTGAATTGATTGAAGTCTGATCAGCTTTTCTTGATTTCTGCTACAACCTGAGATAGATAGAATCTGATTAGGTTGTTAGAGCTTCATCATTCGGTAGTAGTAGATTGGCTATACGAGAGTTAGTCAGTCTACTGCTTTGTACTGGAATCCAATTCCAGTAGTGGAGTTCTATACTTATTGCTTCAGCTTTCTATCCAGGTGAAGACTAGTCGTCTCCCGGGTAGTTAGGCTGAGAGGGCTTGGTCAGCTTAAGAGATTCCAAGCTACTGTGAGATCTTCCACAATTTAATCAACAGTAAATCAACCCAGGGTAATTACAACTGAGACCTAACTAAGGAGATAAGGGGACTCATTCCCTAGTGACTCTTCCTTGCTTCAGAAAACCAAACCAATTCCTGCTTTCTTACTACTTTTAGTTAAAACAAAAATCACTCGCCTTAGTTTGCTAGATAATAGATAATCACGGAGTAGGCAGTAGATCTAGACCCCGGGTTGATATTTAGAACTTGCCACTTTACTGCATTCCCGGACTGCCATTACGCTTGGTCGCAGTTGGGTGATGTGTTGTAGCGTGTCACACATCTTGCATCTGTAACTTCTCCTCTTGGTTTTGAATCTTCTCTTATTGAATCATTATCTTCTCTTCCTGACCTTGTATCTTTTCTTCAAACTCCTTAGTTCTTCTTTCCGATTCAGCTCTTTCTGCTTCCAGTCCTGCTTCCAGCTGTATCTCTCGAGCTGTACGGGATGTTTCCTTGGGTCCATATTTCACTTTCTTCTTCAGCACCATCTCAACAATCTTGCGACTCGACAATGTTTTCCCATCTGCCTTTACATGGGCCTGAATAGCTTGCATCTCCTCCTACATGAAAACCATTTGGTAACAAAAGTTAATGGTTCTTTAATTACTCTAGAATAGATCTTAGAGCATCAGCTATTCAACTAACATAATTTGTCTTAGCTTCCTCGCTCGTCCAGCTTCCATCGTTCCTCTTATATGTTCTAGCATACAATGTAATATCTGTGGGCTCCTGATCCTCTTCATCAACCTGCTCCTCCACATTTTCCGTGCTTGCCTGGTCAGGAACCTGCTTCTTCTTCTTATTCACCTAATGAAGTTATATTTTTTACAACTTGAAAATCATTAGCTTCACAAAGTAGCTGGTAAACAACACTCTTAATTAGACAGAAGGACAACGATTGACTACCATTTCATATACCCTCTGATCATGAGATTTAGCTCCTGTGGTACGAGCAGACCCTTGCTTACTTTTATTAATTATATTTTGTTTACTACGATTCTACAAAAGTGAAAGTCAGTAAACACATATGGATTGAAAAACAAACGTGTCTATGACTAAGTAGTGTTTTACCAGAAATCGATCACTCTCAAAGTGATTACACAAAAGCTCTCAATCCTCTTGTTTCACACCAGGTGGAGGGTTCAGTCGAGCAATGGCAGCACCCCCTTTGCTCTTATAGTGCGTATGACAATGGTGCTTGTAATCCCTAAACCTCCTGTGCATTTTTGCTTCTAATGTCTTCCTTACATGTTTATTAGTAGCAGCTAACTCAAACCCACTCTACATTATACAAAATGGTTCAAATTAGTCTATAGTTAATATGAAACTACTAATGCAATAGAGACAAGCACATGTGTAAGACATAGTTGTTCAATGAAACTAAATTCCACCAATTTACCTCCAATTTTGCAAACATGGGTTGCTTGTCAACTTCACTCAATTCAAACCAATAGTATTTTCCAATAGGAGCCATCAAACGTGTCACGATACCTATTGGTGAGGAACTTGTTATCATCATTTTCATGACAAAAGAAAGTTTTGAAAATTTCTTACATTCTGGATATAGGGACAGTTAGCATCTTTTATTAACCTAGCCAAAGTGGCATTAGTAGGTATATTCATATTATCGATCAATGATGCAGCCCCTGTTGTAGAAGAAATTTCAGCAGCTCGACCAGATCTTCTAACATTTCAATGATATCATCATTGAACCCTTTAGTTTCAGCTTGAATAGGAGAGTTTGGAGGCTAGTTTAGGGTACTACTACTTCCAAAATCATATGGTTCGCCATGGTGAATCCACACAGTATACGTATTGACCATGTCGTTCTTAAACATATCCGTTTTCACCAAGTTTAAGTTCTTGAAATAAATATATTGCACTTCTTGCATGGACATCTAGTCCTACCAAGTGCTTCAACATGATTATCTGCAACCCCTAGGAATTCATTAACCCCCGCAACATATTCATCACAAAATCTATTTCTTAGCTTAATCCAATCTCTATTCATTCTGATTAAGCGTAAAGGTAAGACTGACCTTCACACGTATGTTGTTATCTCAATTGCAAGATGAAGATACAATGAACAACAAGCACACCTGCAAAAAAAAGATGACATATGCTATATTAGTATCTCGAACTCTATGCCTGCAAACAGGCTAATGAAGATATGTCAAGTTTGCACAATTATTTGTTGAGTATTCTGTTCAGGATCTCAGCGAATCGTACATCGGCACTACAATCATCCATACCGTCCCAAAATCAGCCCCATATCTATCAGAAGAACTTAATGTAACAACTAACAATCAGCTGCAGGTTGTAGCACAGACCAGACCTAGTCATATCTAAGACAAAAAAATATGAAATTGAAGCACAAGAGATTCTATCACCATATTAGTCGTCTTACAGAAGCCACTTGCTTAGCAAATCGGGGACATAAAAAGTGTTGAAATTTAGTTCTAAGAACCCTAGTCACAGCTCCATTTCAACTCTCTCAATTCAACTGGAATCAAAAACTCATCTATGGAATCAAAAACCCCCCATGAGACATTGAGAGAAAGAATGCAAGTTAACGTTTCCTTACCCTAATCAGGCCCTAGCAATCTACTGAAATGGATTCAAAAAGGGGGAGGCAACGCATACAACCACCAGTAAAATGAAATTGACATGATTCACAAAGAGAAACCGAACATGCCAGAGGATTTCAAGGAGATGAAAACAGAAGAAATGATCAGCTGGAGGAGAAGATGAAGAATGCGGAGTCGAGGACTTACATGCGGTGAACTCAGCTCTTGTGGATTGGAATCTTACTTGCACGCAACAGTGTATGAGATCGATTGAGGAAGTCGATTGGGTTTTCTTAGGGTTCAGAGTGAAAGTTGAGAGGGAAAGGAAAGAAGCTAGCGCGGAAGAAATCTGAATTCTCCTCTGCCGCATACCAAAAAAGGAGTTTGAGTTTCTTTTTCTCCGGTTTTTCATAATAAACATGGAAAAGGATTTTAATTTTTGACTTAGAAAATAAATTACAAAAAAGAGAATAATACGTAACAATGATATTAGATCCTCGTGACTCTCAATCGACGGCAACTAATTAGATTTCAGGTCATTGCAACGAAAATTTGTACCTTTTACTTGTTTAGTATACGGGATAAAGAAGGTTGTAGGATGAAGAGGAGCTAACAGAGCAATAAAAAGACACAGGTTAATTGTGCCCTCTTTCTGAGTGCCTCGATAGGGGCGAGCTCAAATTCCTAAAAGGAAGATAAAAACAAATTTAATCTACAATTTTCTAACTATGAAAAATAATTACCCTACAAATCATAGCAACAATATGCATTATGCGATAAGGTTTAGTGGATCGTAGTTCAACTAAAATGTAATTTTTATTATTGTAGATTTACAGATTGCTTTCATCAATCGATTACAATTTACATTACAAGGTTTAGAATTTAGGTGTGAAGATTGTTTTTTACACTTCGCGATTTAGGGTATAGGGGTTTTTTGTCATATTAAATGTGAATATAACATTTTTTTTTGACAAACTTGGTTGTCAGCAGAAATATATACTAGTATATATTGTGACAAATTTACTACTTGTCATCCTATACATTTATCATTTCCCGCCAATTCACATTTTGGCTAACCAAATGTGTGAGATATTTAATATAACAAAGTTAGTTTGTCATAATAAAGTATTCTGAATGTATATTGTGACAAAATCTTTATTTGTCACATTAAACATTTCATCTTCCGCGCCACAATTTCCCGCCAATACATAGCCGACAACGAGTTTTTTTTTACTAAGTATAACCTGTTATATTATAGGTACATTCGTAATATTATGACAAATGAAGTTGTCATAATCCAACTGACATAGTAGATAATTTGACAGACAATATTATGACAAATATTTTGTCACATTATAATCCAACCATTCCTAGTCGATGACCATATTTTGACAAAACAATGTTTACATAATTAATTTGTCATAATACATACTTAAGATGACAAAATTTTATGACAAGCTCGTTGTTTGTCACAACTTGTACGGAAATTATGACAAACATGGTTGTCGTCACATTACATGGTCTATTGTAACAAAATATAAATGACAAATTTTTTTTTTGTCACAATAGGCCGAAATTGTTGTAGTGAGTTACTTGCCAATTATATACACTTCATAAAAATACCATGATTAATTAAGACTTTAAGTTCAATAAGATCATCTCAATTGAGCTCTCATGCCAAATTGTTTGCCAATGGTATATGTCTATATATACCATAAACAATTCTGACAAATATCTTCACATAATAGTCACATGCCAAATTGTTATCCAATAATATTGTGTACGTATACCATAATCAATTATGGCTTCATGATTATTTTGATGATCATCATGCTTTGGCCAGTTTGATAATCCTGATAAGGATAATCTTACCTTCATTTTCCTTGCCCTCATAGCATAGGAAACATCAAGTCCTAAACCACATACATGACTAAAAAAATATCATGTTTTCACAAGCATCGTAGGAATTAGAATTTCTTGTCACTTGTGGCTTACTCGTAATGCAAACCTTTAGACATGCATTAACCAAATTCCATCTCCAACACATAGGAGGTGTACTCTTGCTTACTATGTTCAACTTACTTTGAACATAACCTTTGCATTCAAATTTGCAAATATTTCGGCTTAGATAGACTTGACGCACAGGTCTTTACTAGCCTGTCGTCATAGGTTTCACACACCTATGGTTGTTCATATTTCATGACCGGAAAGCTATTTCCAACATAACTTACTATCATCTAAACCATTTTCCAATCCACAAAGATATATCTTGGATGTGATCCATTCATAATTTGTGGAACACATTAGCATATCGAAGTATAGTTATGTATGGACCCATTCATACTTGTGATTAGAATACATAAAAATAGTATACTAATTAGGGTTAGACGAAGAAGGCAAATAAAGAATAAAGAAAGAGTTATGGAAGGCGAGTAAAAAATGAAACGAAGAGGAAGTAGATGCTGGAAAGGTTTTGACCAATTCTCTTAGTTGGCTGTCAATACAACAATCAACCATTTTCACCGTAGCAATTTTTCGACACTTGCTTATGTAGATGCACATATTATGTTACATGTAGTTGGTAGAAGTTTGTTTAGTACCCCGTAAATGTACTAACTGAGTTTATAAATTCGCTCTTTCAATATTAGAGTCGAATCTTCTCCTACATTTGAGTGACACAACATCTAGTATGGTAAAAACTAAATTTATAATTTTATGTTATGGTGGATTGGATTCATGGATTAGTTCAAAAGGATTGGTGGATTGAATTCATAAATTCAAGTGAAATCTAAACATTGGACCAATATAAATTTAAAAAATTGAAGGTATGAAAATCTCATAAAATTTAGATACCAAAATATAATTGTTCAATGATTTAAATTAAAATTAAATTTGGGGTATCAAAATATAAAATGTACACTATAGTGACTAAGTTGTAATTTTAGGGTATCAAAATATAAAATGTTGATTATAGTTGTAATCAAAGCTGGTTGAACTTGTAATATTCGGTTGAACCTATTGTACATTTAATAATAACAAAAATTTAATTATTTTTATTGAAGATATGTGTTTAACATCAGTACGGAGACTCATCCAGCTTCTGGGAACTCCGATCACTTCTACAAAATTGAACAATTAAATTTACTTAGATAGCTACATGAGCATATATAAACAATCAAATTCATTTGCAGTCCATCTTCTTCCTCATCAATTGACAGGGGGTTCGGGATATGGGTGATGATGGCTGACCGACGGTAACGCAGAGGGTGGATTGCCGCGACAGAGATGATTTTGCGTATCATCGGGCGGCAGCATCGGGGCTGATGGCGATGTGTAATTCGACTGACGAGGGCTCGGGATCTAGGTGGTAATGACCGGTCGACGACAACGATGATGTTAGTGATGGGTTGCCGCGGCGTAGACGATGCCGGCGATGACAAGGCAGCGACAAGAGGGCTGATGATGGTGGTGATTTCGATTGACGAGAAGTTCGAAATCTCGGCTGTGATGGCCGACCGGCGAGAACAGCGATGATAGTGGTGGATTGACGGTGAGGCTTTTCACGACGGAAAGAACTAAGAAAAGATTAAAGGAGTGGAAGAGAAAGGGATCTGTAGCTGGGCTTTTCTTTTGCTTCTGTTTTTAAACTTTTTATTTTATTAATTTCTATTTAAAGCAGACCCACCCATTATTGACAAACCCAACCCTTTTGAAAATTGTGACGGCACTGGTGCAGTAATTGCACCACAGAATTGTCGATTATATATATATATATGCAATATATATAACATCTATTGCAACTTTTGGAGAGTTACGGTGGGTGCATGAATGGATCTCCTTAATGAAATTAACCATGCAACTTCAAAAGGACAGTTACAATGATTAATCAAGAAAAACAAATATTGTGGTTACTATTAACAACGTTTTGAGTTGTGGATGGATTAGGGTTTCAATCTACCCCTCTCGTCTTTCTCATTTCATATATATAGTCCCAATTACAGAAATAAAGGACAATACAGCTGTGCTGGTAAACTAAAACAGAGTAGGTGAATAGTAAAACTGAAAAACAGTCGCTATAGACCGTTGGAGAAGACTATCTCCCATTGGCGCGTGTGTCCTGTTCTGCTAAGAAGAAGAAAAATCTTTTTTATCCCCTGTTACTCCCCCCCCCCCCACCCCCACAAGCTAGTGGGTACAAGGTTTGAAGTCCCGGCTTGGACAAAAGGAGCAGAGGAGAGTGGCTTAGTGAAGATGTCCGCGAGCTAGTTATTAGATGAAACATGGAGAAGCTTGATCGTACCAGCAAGGAACTTCTCCCAAACCAAATGGTAATCATGCTCTATATATTTGGTGCGTTGATGAAAGGAAGGATTCTGAGCTATATAGAGGGCCGAATGATTATCACAATGAAGAATGAAGAGGCACAAGATGAGAGTGCGAAATCTGAAAATTAGTAAGGAGATAGAGAAGCCACTGAATCTCGCAGGTGGTGTAGGCAAGAGCCCCGCATTCCACTCCACAAGAAGAGCGAGAAACGGTAGTCTGTTTCTTGGATTTCCAGGAAACAAGCGAATCTCCAAAGAACACACAAAAACCAGTGATTGATCGTCTAGTATCTGGACACGCACCCCAATCTGAATCACTGAAAGGCCTTGAGGGTGAGAGGAGTGTACGCTAGAAAAAACAGACCATGACAAGGGGTCTTTTTTATGTAACACAGAATGCGAGTGACTGCTTTCTTATGGAGAACAGAAGGTTCAGACATAAATTGGCTAACATGTTGAGTGTCAAAACTTATGTATTGGCGGGTGGTGGTGAGGTAGATGAGTTTGCCAACTATGCTTCGATAAGCTGTAGCATCTACCATCTCACTGAGATCTGTTGTACTCAAATGAGTCTTGTAATCCATTGGTGTCCTGACTGGCTTAACCCCAAGATGGCCTGCTTCATCCAATAATTCAAGAGCATACTTCCTTTGAGATAGATGAAGCCCCTAAGAAGTTCTGGTCACTTCAAGTTCAAGAGTTCAAGAAAGTACTTGAGATCACCTAAGTATTTAATGCTGAAAGCAGCGTATAAGTAAGTGAGCTTTGATTCGGGGGTGATTTTAGCCGTGTCATTCCCCAACCCCCCCCCCCCCTAATTAAATCGTCAACATAAACAAGGATGGCAGTATAGGAGGAACCATTGGACTTGGTGAAGAGTGAATGATCTGACTTACTAGCCATGTAACCTTGATGAAGAAGACTATTAGAAAGCTTGGCTAACCACTGTCGAGAGGCTTGTTTCAGCCATAAAGAGACTTATGCAACTTACAGACAGGGTTAGGGATATTGGCAGGAGTAGTCATGCCAGGTGTGAGGGCCATATAGACCTCTTCATGGAGATCACCGTGCAAGAAGGCACTGTTTATGTCTAGCTGGTGAATAACCCATTGTGAGCTGTTGCAATGGCAAGAAAAAGCCTTAATGTTGTCATTTTAACCACGGGAGCAAAGGTGTCCAGAAAATCAATTCCTTCTTGCTGTGAACCTTTCAATTTGGCATTGAACCTTTCAATTTCACCACTGGAGA